GGCTGGGGCAGGGACTGGGGCAAGCGCTGCCCAGCCAGGGTTGGGCAGGCGCAGGACGGAGCCGTGGCTTATCCAGAGGGTGCAGGGGGGAGGGCAGCTCCTGCCACTGTGTGCTGCTTGTCCAAGAGCTGTTGGTCCAGTGGCTCATTCAGTACTTGTCTGCTTGTCCAGTGGCTCCCATTGCTTGTCCGGGAAGGCATTGGGGGGTGGAGGGGAAGGGGAGGCATGTGCCTCCAGATCTGCATGGGGCAGGGTGGGCTCTTCTCAGCAGGCTGAGGCTGCACAGGGCGGGTGGCAGCGGTGCTGGGAAAGAGGGTTGGGGGGGACTACAGGGAATTTTGGGGTGGTTGCAGCCCCTCTGTAACTCTCTCCCAGTGCCACTGCTGGCACCCCTGCACACAGCCCTGCTTTACACAGATCTGTAGGCATATGCCCCCCCATGTCCTCCCAGATCAGTGGTGGGAGCCACCGGGTGAGTGGGTGAGTGCTGAATGAGCCACCAGACCAGTGGCTCCCAGACAAGTGGCGCACAGTGGCAGGAGCTGCTCCCCCTCTGTGCTCCCCATACGAGCTGCGGCTCCATCGCACACCCGCCCACCCTGCCCTGGCTAGGGAGTACTTGCCCTAGCCCCAGCCCCACTTCTCCCTTACCATGGGGGCCTTGATTTGCACCCCTCACACCTCTTCTCTCCCCCCTCCCCTTCCAGCACACCTGACTCCCAGCTGCACGCAGCTCTCCAAGATGCCTGGCGGTGCTCCTTGCGGCCTACATGCTACACTGTGGCTGTGCACATGCACAGGCCATTTATTAGCCAAATTATATGAGGCCGATTTCTGATACAGTCAATTTTCTTTATATCAGTGCTGATCCAATATTGGGCCAATGTATCGGTGCCTCTCTAACAGAAAGTAGTTTATAGCTGGGACCAAACACAAGTGCATGGCTAGAGACAGCTTCAAAAATGGGTGATCAGGTGAAAAATCTGACTCCTCATTGCATGTCCAGGAGATCAGTCTGGGATTTTTTCAGCCGCCCCGGAGCGTGGATTGGGTGTATTGGAGTCCCCCCACCCCCAATGTGGAGGGGCTCCAATTCACCCACTCTACTCTTCAGCCCCAAGAACAAGCTCCCTCCACTGCCTTTTCCCCCTCCAATTCTGAAAACAGCAAGCACTGGCAGAGAGCTGTGGCCATTGCTAGTAGAGAAACCCAGTTGCGGGCTCCCAGCCCACACCTAGATTTCCCTCCCTGCTGGAACCAACAGTGAACTTCTATTTGGTCTGGGGTAACATTGTAACTCAGATTGCTTTGCAGAACACATGTTGAGTAACAGCTGGGAGCTGCACTTCTGTCTGCACCCTTAGACTCACTGGTTAGGGCTGCTTTAGCAGATGTGATATAATGAATCTCAGAGGGAGAATTATAAGAAGGTCCCTGATGGATGTTGACTCAAAACTGGGGCATCTTAGGAATATGAAGAAACCTATAACTTAAAAGGAAATCCCTTTGCAAAGCAGACATTTCTATGTTAAAATATTCCTGCATCCATGAAAACTGAGCTCAGTCAAATTCTATAAAATTTCCACATGGTGTCATTTAAATTTCCCTTTCAGATAAATACTGTCATCTTTATACTAGCAGTGAAAGCGTCCTGCAGAAGAAGGCAACGTTCATTTGAAAAAACAGGAGTTGCGTAAGTTTGCAGGCAAAGCTCAGACTGAAAGAAATGTTCCTGGCCAGGGATAAAAAAAGGGTCCCTCTAAAGAGAACCTAAGAGGGCAGGGAAGGAAACAGGGTGGCTGAGGAAACACAGGGGGAGTAGTTTGCATTGACGGAAAAAGTTAAGTCTCTGTGCCATCATTTATTCCCAACCTTCTCTCCTTGACTCGGTAGAAAAACTTCCTTAGGGTGGATAGCTTAGAAGGGGGTGTAGATAGGAAAGAAAGAGGAAAAGATGAATTGTTGACTCTACAGGACACCATTCAAATCCACCCCAAATCTTGTCAACATTGTCTTCCATGAAATTCCCTACTGCTGCATACCTTGTAAGCCTGACAGTGTTTGAGCCAGGTATAGACAGACACCTCAAGCTATATTTATGATCACAGTAGATGTGAGGCTGAGAGAAATTTCCCCTTTTTTTCCTCATATGCCATTAGATCCATGGTTTTGCTTCAGGGACTTCAGGGGTGCTGTTCCCTTTTGCTGTCTTAGCAAAGGTCTTTTAAGGCAACATCTCTGCCCTGCCCTGCAGAAGGACAGCCTCCCCCACCCCACACAGAATGGACTGAGTGACTTAACAAGCTGAAACTTGCTGAGTTTCCTAACTCTCTGTCAAGTTGTTCCTATTTAAGTTCTGTTATATCCAAAGCCTGTAATTTGCCTAAAAACTACAATGTGATTAGATAATAGCTAGACAGCAGCTCTTGGGAATTCAGAAGGCTTTCTCTGGCTGTTTCTGTAACAGTGAGTTGGGAGTTGTTTAAGAAACAACAAACAAATGCTTCTTTGCAAGTTTCTCTTTTAATATCTGCAAGTAAAGCATCTAATTGCCATTCAGTAGCAGGTTGTATTTGGCTCAATCTGTATTTTTTTAAAAAATAGCCTTTGCCAATAGAAGTCTTTGTGCACATATAGTCCCATACAATCATGTATACAAGGAAACTGACTTCTATCAGATGGGAATGTCAGTAGCCATTTTTCCTTGAAAAAATGCCGAACTTGTTAAATGATAATGTACACAGGGCAAAATCATATTTTAAGCCACATTACAGGTAATGTTGCTGAGACAAGGCTCCCAGTCTGATCTGTAGTTCTAAGATCCAGTCAACTGTCTGTAACAGTGATGGAAACGGTTCCAAACTTCCTATTTGAAATGCCCATAATCAGTTCACTAGTCTATGCACACTCTCAAAGCCAGGACTATGCACTGTATAGCAACTGTGGCCCTGAGATTTCAGGAGATTCAGTATGTTAGTTGGTGTCTGGGGTATTGTGAGGCCGTGTAATATTATATTATTATTTTTCTGTCTTAATGTGAATGATTTTATCTGTGTGTGTTCAGCTCTGTGCTGCGAACTGCTTTCCTCCTCTTGCTGCTGATCAGTGCCACATGGTTACTGGGGCTGATGGCAGTGAACAGTGATGTCATGACATTTCACTATCTCTTTGCTATCTTCAGCTGCTTGCAGGTAAGTTGTGCAACATCATCATATTGCATCTCTTTACATTCATAATATGCTACAGACTAAAGAGTCCTCTCTCTTCAGTACTTCTCTCTACAAGATAAGCTGATAGTAAGCTAAGACTTCTGGCTCTGAAAACTCAGAATTTTGCAGCCCAAAAAGATGAGATGTCCAAGGTGCAGCTCTTGTCACTGACTTGTCTCAAAGGGGGAATTCTTTTCGTTGGGGCAAACAGTTACCACCACCCTCTAATAAACAGCACCTTTTTTTTCTAACCAAGTGGCTCTCTTTTGGTCCAGGTGTTCTCATACTGGAATTCATGACAGACAAACATAGTGTGCAGTTAAACTACTTACAAAAAGATGCTATTGACCTCAGACACAACCTCAAGCCTGAGACCATCACTTAAATACTAAACAAACAAACATTGATGTGTTAATACTGTGCTTTACTAGCACTATGAGTAATGGTGCGTCTTGCATCCAACATGGACAGCTTAAGGTCTTTATAGGTTCATAGGAAAGATTATTGGAGAGTCAGACATCACTTTCAAACTAAGATAGGGATAGTTCAGCTGTTCAGCAGCAAACTTAATATGTTGAAGGTCACGACACACACATCAGCGCATTAATAATGTACTGTACAATTATTTATACTGTGCCTGCAGAAGTATTAATGAAATTCAGAATCCAGGTCATTGATTTGAATGTGAGACAGGATGGAGTAACCAAAAGTTACTAGCATCTTTTGGCCTGTCTGAAATAAATTGTTGGACAGTTTACAAACAGACCTTGTTAATGGCTAGTTACCAGCTTGCAAGAGAGGCAACAGGCTGAATGTAGCGATGAACAATGGGTTTTTCCAGGTCAGAGGAGAGGCAGAAGGGTATGTCAGTGTAGGGGGGGATATTTGTACTGCCACTGTCTGTGTTGCAATCACTCCATTATGGAATAAATTAATTTTAAATCTTTTCAGATCTTTGGGGGGGGAACCAAAATAAAATGATCTATGATACAAGCCATCATGAGGAGGAGCAGGAGCAAAGAAGCTGGAATTTTACTTAAACTAACCTGGAGAGCCACTCCAATGCATGACATTTCACATCACTGACTTCTTTGAACTTTTATATACTAAAGAGACATATAATTTTATTAATGAATAATCTCATCGAGCTGAGGTGAAATGGGACTGCGCCAACTGAATGTTTAGAAAGTGAGCCTAAAGCTTAATGCTAGTCTTAATAAAACTGATCTGGCTGCAGGCATGAAATACAGGCATCGTGGGACATTGCTATTACTGAAACTTCATAAGCAGTGAATTCAAAGCACCATCCTGCAACCCAACTAAGCAACAAATTTGGCAGTTGCATCAGCTGGTACCCAATGTGTGTGCTGCAAAAGCACCATTAATGTATAACCCTGTGCTGGTGAAGAGCAGCCCTACCACAGGTAACAGTATTTTTGCCAGGAACAAGAATAATGTGCACAGTGACTGGCTGCAGGAGCTACTGCTGCTTCAAAGAACAAACAGGTGTCAGCACAAGGGATCATGTTTTAGAAAGATTGCAGAATGGCCTCTACTATTTTTAAGTGCCCAACTTCTCCCATGCTTGAGTCTCTCATTGTTGGTTATGATCTTTTGATAGGTTCCGGCATGCTTATTAGTAGTTGGATTCTCAGTCAGAGCACAAACTCAAAAATCTTAATTCTGAAATATTATATGAAAGGATCATTACGGTTTTTGCCAGTGTGGTGAAGTGCTTGTATTAAAGCATGGACAGCATACTGGAATTAGGAGGTAGTCTGAAAATGTGCACAACTTCCCAGTTGTTTTTTCAGTTAAATCTTGTACTTCTCTCTCTCAATCCAGGGACTTTTCATTTTCTTCTTCCACTGTATATTTAACAAAGAAGTCAGAAAGCACTTGAAGAATACTTTAACTGGAAAGAAACCTCTTCCAGACGACTCTACTGCAACAAGAGCTACATTATTAACTGTAAGAGAAAGTCTTGAAAAGGTGTTTTTGTTCTGATAGAAATTAGCTCAAATATATTTCTAGGCCATTACTTGTCCCCCAAAAGACTAATTCCATCCCCAGCTTACAGCAGTTCTCCAAAAGACTATTTAAAAACAGCAGTCAAGACTCTTGAGTGTAGGAAATCATTTTGAGTAAACTGTAGCATCATGAAGCTATTAGAGCCCATTTAGTTCATTTGAGGTTTTTTTTTGTGCAAACGCTTTGAGTGTGGAGTTTTACAAAGAACTGTAATTTTATTCTCACAGAGTTCAAAGAAGAGGTTGCATAGGTGAATTGTAGTTATGCATTTTGCTTTAAACCAGGGGTGCTCAACCTCTGGCCTGTGGGCCAGTTGTGACCCACAGATCAATCTCATTTGGCCTGCAGCACTCCACACAGGTCCAGAAATTTGTGGCAGGGTAACAGTGGCCATTAGTACAGCCATCCTCTCCCCTGCCAAATTCCCAAGCCCTATGCAGCATCAAAGCTTGGCCATGTCCCCTTTCCCCATGGGGCCAAGCCACGCCCCTGGCTGCCCACCCCACACCGTGCCTTCTGGAGCAGGTCTGGACCACGTCCCCTTTTCCTCTGTGAAGCTAGGCCAGAGGCTGACCATGTCCCTTCCCTCTGTGGGGCCAGGTCAGGGCCTGACCGTGCCCTCCCCCACTCCCCACAGGGCTGGTCAAGCTCCTTTCCCCTGTAGGGTGGTTTTGGGGCAAGCCTGCCCCCCGCACCTCTCTATGCAGCCAGATAGTGCCCATCATGCCCACCCTGAGCACCAGAGTGAGACCATTGGTCCATAGGTGGACCATCTGGCCCACCAGGGAAAAAGCTTGAGCACCACTCTTCTAAACTCTTCTATTTTTCAGCAGTTTTCTAGCTCTTTAGTACAGGCGACCCTTGCCATTCATGGGGGATACGTTCTCGTATCCCCTGCAAATGGCGAAATCTGCGAATAAGGCACTGCGTTCATGAACGCAGTCTGTGTTCATGAACAGAGTGCCCCTGGTGGCTGGGGGGCATGGCAGCAGCGGGAGCCTGGTGGCAGCAAGCATAAACTTCCCAAGGAGCTCCTGTAATTGTATAAAGTGGGGTGGTTGTTTACATTACCCTTGTTATACAGGTAGGAAGCTGAGGCAGACAGATTAAGACCCAGATCCTCAAGAGTGATTTAGGGCACCTAGATTTCAATAGGTGCTGGGTGCTCAAGTGCTTTTGCAGGTTTTGGCCCGCATGCCTGATTTTCAGAGTTCTGAGCACTTGCCGTTCTAGCCAAAGAGCAGGTGCACCTTTGCCAATGGACCAGAGGTGGAGTTGTGGAGTCCAGGACAGTTCTTGCTGTGGTCCTCTTTCTCATCTACTTGTAACCATTAGATAAACTGATAGGCTAGGGACTGAGTCTAAATTGATTCAATCTTTGCAAGTTAGTTTAAGCTGGCTAAGCTAAATCACTTTGAAACCATATAGGCATCCCAGACATGCTGGCACATGACTGCTGTGGCACAAGCTAGGAGCAGAGGGGTACTAGAGCAGCCCTCCCTTCCTTCCACAGTACTGAGCTGAGGGGGGGAGTGGCCCGGCCCTGGCAGGACACTCTGATTAGCCCAGCAGGGAATTGATAACAGTGTTCATCACCCCATTAAAAAACAACAGAGGGACATTACCAACTGCGTGTTGATTCTGCCTGTTGATTTAGCACAGACTTGGCCAGCATGTGGGCTGCTAGCTAATACACAGACAGCTCTCTGCAAGGCAGAGGAGAGGAGGGAATTCCTGCTTAGCAGGGAATGGTGAGGGGGAGCAGGAGAGCAGCCTGCAGTCCCTGCCAGAGCTGCAGCCAGAGAGCAGAGGGGAGGGGCCAGTTCTGCTGTGGAGCAGGGAGCCCCACCCAGCCCAGAGAACATGCCAGGATGCTGGGGGAGTCTGGTTTATCTTAAACCAGCAAGGGGTCTGGGACAGACATTGCATAAACTGGTTTGACCCAAATCAGTTAAGTCTGTTACTACATTCAACCAGGTTTATCTCAAGCTGGTTTCTGCCATTTTCAAGCTGGTTTATGTGCACTGAACATCTGTTCTATTACAGGTTTAAACCAGTTTCTGATCACTTAAACCAATTTATGTGTAACGTCTGTCCCTAGCCGTAAAGAACATGGACTCAAGGTCATTATGTTAAGAAGACACAGCTTTGCTTATCCTTCATCACAAGCAACCATGCCACTAGCCCCCATGCTCAGTGCTTGTACAAGAGCAGCTCATGGATAAAGAACGTCTGGTTTAAAGCTGAGGCTCATGAAGGAGGAAGGTGTGCTGATGGGCAAAGTAAAGCTCTTTGAAGAATTTTCAGCCTTGTTGCACTCGCCTTAGGTTGAAAGTACACACCACAAACAGTCAGTTCAGTCTGGAGACAGATTCTCTTGGATTACTTGCTGATGCTAGGCTCAAACATAGCAATATGCAGGAGTAACTCTTTCCGTCATCTCAGGTTAGATAGGAAGTGTCATCCTATCCTGGCAGGCAGTGCCCTAGCCTCAGTTCCTTCTATATCGATCAACACTTGGTGGTTAATGACTCCATTCTTGTGGTGCAGTCACATTGTGTATGAGGAGGGTAAATCTCATCTTTGCATGAGACAAATTTCTTGAGGGTCAGAGCTTGAGAATAAGGAGCAGACACATTAAAAAATGAAAGGTTGCTTATCATCACAGGCTTCAGTACCATCTGCTCCAAATGTGAGGTGCACATCCTAGATCTATCTGTTGTCTCTAAGACACACACAGCAGCACAGACAGAATAAAAGCCTTTCCAAACCAACCCCTGCACTTCATGTTCAGTTCTCCTCTTGGGGAGAAACACGAGCGAACCACATGTGACAGATGTTAACACTGACTCAAAGGTGTTCAAATACTGCAGTAGTACTAGTATCAGAGCTGGGATTATAACTCGGGAGGTTCTCACTTGAGTCCTGTGTTCAAGCCACTCAAACTCTGAGGTGCACGAGAGCTGAAAGGCACTATTACCTATTGGGAGAAGCAGTTTAAACTCACATGTACTAACACAAGGGTTTTCAACCTTTTTGGAAAAGTGTACCCTTGGCAGGCAGATGAGGAGTGGTGGCTGGACGTGGGGTGGGGGAAGGGCTGGCACATGGCTGAATGCAAAGCAGTGGCAGCCACTGCCTGCGACTTTCCCCCTCCCTCGTGTCTGGGCAGGTGGCACTTGCACAGCAGCATGAGATGGTGCATGGTGGCACTCCATCCCTACCCACCGGCGCATACCCTCTAAGGCCTTTTCAAGTACCCCTGGTTGACAGCCCCTGTACTAACAACTTATTCTCTCCAGCTGCCATGTTCTGTCTGCCTGATGGTAGCTAAAAGAAAGTTGTTTTAACTGTTGTCATTCACTACTGCTATTTTTTTGTCAGCGTTCTCTGAACTGTAACAACACATATATAGAGGAACCAAATATGTATCGTACAACTATTGGGGAATCCACGGTCTCCCTAGAAAGCACCGTCAGGTCAGCCAAGAGCCACAATAGCTACCTTGCTTATATTCTCAGGTAATCAGGTGGCGGGTGCACGGCTTTCAGACCTTTACTTTAACTTTTCCTTTCTCCTGGCTTTTTTGAAAGAGAACAAAACAAAATTGTCTTGGTTCAAATGCTGCTTGTTCCCTATGTCTTAGCAGTTTTGCTTTGTGTGGTTGTTGTCTTTGTATTTTCCTCTGTGTTCTTCTCATTTGCATGCAACTGTAGCGGGCAGTACATACTCAAATTAGGGTGGAATGGCAAAAGCATTTCCCTATGAGTCCCATGCAGCTTGCCTGCTCCGGTGTTACAAGTGACAGTGCAGAGCAGAGTTTTCAATCTGTCTCTGTCTGTCTAGTTTTTTTGCTACTAGCATATTGACCAAAATCTGTCCCCTCATTTTATTTTTTCTAAGGGATGAAGCTGCTCATAAGCTCAGTGGGTCTTCAAGTCAAGCAAGAGCTGGTCATACAGAAGTAGATTCTTCCATTTTTCATAGGAATCCATCCAAATCCAATGGTAAGCGACTTTATTTGAAAACTGTTTTGAACTACACCTGCATTGGAAAGAAGGGGTCATCACCAGGGAGGGCTATTCTGCAGTTGCTCAGGGATGTAGGGGGGTAGTTAGGAAGGCCAAGGCAGAGATGGAACTGGGACTAGCTTCCCAGATTAAGGACAATAAGAAGTCTTTTTTTAAATATGTAGGGGGTAAGAAGAAGGTCCTGGGTAATGTGGGGCCCTTGCAGGACACGTTGGGAAATTTGGTTGTCACAGCAGACGACAAAGTTAACATGTTTAATGATTTCTTTGCCTCCGTCTTCCTAAGTAGGGACCAGAACAGCCACCTCCCTGCTGGGCCCCCCTCAGGCCCTGGGGGAGACACACCTGGGCCAAGGGTTAGCGAGGATTTAGTTAGGGAGCTTCTGGAGGGGC